GTCGAGAGTCTCTTTTCGCCTGTTTTCATCTTCTCTGTTTCCTATTTACATCCTCCAAACGGAACCGTACAGGGGGGGGGGGCAAAAAAAGTCACTTCGACCGAGTCACATATCAGCAAAGTTTTCGCAGCCCAGACAGAAGACGTGGATACGAGTACCAGGGCGGAAGATACCCAAGATGTTCCTCGATAAGCAGGAGCTGGCTCTCGCCCATCACCTTCATGTACACCAAAATATGAAGTCATCTCCAGTCGCAGCCTGACTGGAGAAGACCTTTGGAATTCATGTCACCTCCAAACAGCTGCGAAACTTCTAGTATGGAGTCACCCATGGATAGCTAGCTACCTGGAGACCAGTACTCTCGATCTGGATGACCTCCAACATCGAGCAGCTCCGACAACGTCGCTACGGTCTAGGACATCATCTTCACCGCAGTCGCCAAGGCGCGGGTTGATGGTATGGACCGGACGTACCCATATTTTCTTCGTGGACCGGGCTGCAGGTGAGCGCTGGCGGTTACATCGAGCAACTCAAGAAGAATGCCTCGCCCGTACCTTCTTGGAAACTTTGTACTGCTACAGCATTGGGTGCCACCACATGGAATCGAAGGGCGTTGGAGAAACTCTCGCCTACTTGGAATGGAAAGGGGCTGGGTACCTAACTGAATCCTGTCATAGACAGTCGGGCTGATCAATATGTGGCTATACGCAGAGGAAAAATCGACTATCTCGCCGATTTCACACCGCATCGCGTCCGTGCCAAAAATCTCACACATCGCGGTCGCGTGCCAGAATCTCTCGATGGCGCTCGTCCAGAAGGCTGTGGCGGAGTGTCATGATAGTATTTAATATGCTCTTTAATATGGTGGTAGAAATGTCCGATCAGAATTTATAAAGTGTAACTTATAGCGCCTCGAAAGTCAATGAAGGAAAGTGACTTTTTTTGCCCCCCCCCCCCTGTATATTGGTCACACAGCATGGTGCTGTTATGAAACCATGTGTGCAAGCGGATAGAAGACAGCAACTGCTAAAGCCTCGAACCAAGATATGGGCTTTTCTAAAGGAGGGTACTGCGGGGTGGGTGAGCCAGTTGTCGTTCGTAGAAAGCTGGATTGGGTGAGGCCAATGCCATCAACTGCCACATAGACAAGGAAGGGCAAAGGAGTATAGGAAGGTCGACGCATCAAAAGAAATCGAGTTCAATACATCGGCAGTCTATAAGGCTGCCGAAATTAAGGTAGGTAAGGCTCAAAATCAAGGTAGGTAAGGCAAAAACATGGGGTAGCTCCAAATCTTGAATTTCTCTTGAACGTGACATCAGTCCCACTTCCAGCCTCTAACCTTCCTCGGCACTTTTCATTCCCTTTACATCAGCTTTTCGCTCTTTGTGGCTGAGATCAACCACTGTTGCTATCGTATCCGCTTCATCAATGTTTCTACGTAAAAAGCGCTCAGGGCCTAATTTTCTCAAAAGGAGCCACGCATTTGATTGCTGGTCAGAATCGCCGTCATATTCAGATTCTAGGTTTGATTCCTACAATGTAGAGCTAGGACTAATCAATGTAAAGCACAGTGTTCTGATTTTTTTCAAATGAATTAAGTGCCAACTAGCTGACCCCAAAGACTTGGTCACTTGGCACTCTCGCGCGGTATCAGAGCCAGGATTTGTGACCCTCACCAGTTTTTTTTGGAACCGCAACATATGCATTCGTCCCTTAACTACTTTCTTATGCATAAATTCTCAAAGGGATTGCTGACGAAGGTGTTGCTAGAGTCCTTGTTTGATTCTCTCTTATTTACCCAGCCCAGCTTTTACGGCTGCGTGGAACAGTAGGCAGAAAAATTGATAAAAGTTAAAAATTTGCGTCACCAAACCGGAAAAAAGCCACATACATCAATGATACGAGGATCCAGGCATTCAACGGCTCCAATAGTTCGGAGTGAAATCAGTTCGCAACCGATAATTTTGACGATATCGGCCCCGTAGAGTTGGCCGACGGATAGCACTCCAGTGACGGCAACGAGAACGTGCTCATCTGAATCAGAATATACTCGCGGGGTCAAAGGTAACACTATGAGCCTTCACAGAAAGGGTACCTCTGGTGATTCGCAGCACACCCATTAAACCGTACGAGTCCATCACTTTCACGTAGCCTCGTCTCTCCACTTCCGCCGCAGCGGAATCTAAAGCAATTGAAAAACAATAAACAAGTACATAAGGTAAAGTGTGTATAGGTTCCAACAAAATTTTAGGGACTATAGAATTGCGTTCCCGCTCAATTTCATGCACAGGTATTACTCGAGATGTCTTCATGCCACAAAAGCATGTAAAAGATGGCCCTATCTGAGGCACTTCGGACGATTTTCAGCTTTCTCCTACTACTGCGTCACATGCTACCTAGTCAGTACCAAGCACATTACAGTGCATGAAATTTTCGACCCAAGCCGTATAGAACTCATTTGAGAACATTTCATTTTTCACGCGTAATCTTGAGTCAGAAAAAAAACGTTATATCTCATGGGCCAACCGATACTTGGAAATTCCATTTCTATCAACCACCCAATGAGGCGGAGGTGGTGTAGTGACAAGTGGCGCGCTTACCACTCGCGCGGCGCCGGGTTCAAATCCCGGGTCGACTCCCGCCCAGGCCAACCAAGCCTTCTACCCTCCCGGGGACGGTAAATTGGTACCAGATTCGTCTGGGAGGATAAAACACTGACTTGTACATCGGCTGGCCACCGCAAGTCATTGTATAGGCCACATCGCATTCAATAAGCCACTACGATTCTGAATGGAAGTAGAATGCGTGCCGCATCCCACAAAGGGATTGATCAACGGCGAAGACTTTATCCCTTTATTCTTTATCAACCGCCCACTTACAAAAGAACGTGGATGGCTTTAACTGAAGGGGCGTAGAACTGGTTTAAAGCTGCCGTTAATCGCTTCTGCGGTAAGTTTCTCTCATATTCAATGAGGAAGTGCACTTTCACACAGCCTCTCTTCCCTCTTGGAAAGTTTCTCATAAATGAGTTGAATGGATAGCGATTCCCCGTCATCTTTTCCCACATATTAAGGAAGGTGATTAGAAAGACCCTCGAACAACTTCAAAGCACTGTGGGAGCTCCGTGTTAGCCAAAGAGCCATGATGACTGCCTTCAGATCATGGAACGCTATGGGATCAGAAATTTTTCTTCAAAAAGACCCCAGTTCCTTTGCAATTGAATATAGTCCACCGTGATCCTCCACAACCAATAGGTACCCTTGTTCATGTGGTCAAATTTGTCAAATGCTCTTACGCCCACGAATAGTGACAATCTCTCTCCACCAGCCCCTTTCAGAGCCTCAAGCACCGGATTAAATGTCCTCCTCGCCTTTTCCATTTCTTATTCTGAATTCACAAAAACAGATTCCCCGAGATACATCATGCTTTGTACCATCATTCAGCGGCTTCCCGAATGCGGCTCAGCCCACAGATAAACTTATGCGGGACGGCTGTAGAACATTCCCACCTCTCAGACCAACCTGGTACCAATATATACGTGAACCACGGGAGGGTATAAGGATTGGCTACCCTTGCTGCCAGCTGGTGAGATAATTGACCGAGGGTCTCACTCTTGGTAAGCAGTGATGTTTACCACCTCACCAACTCCGCATTTTTCTAACGATTTCCCGCTGCAAAACAAATCCTCAAACGATTGGTCTCCGAGTTCGAGCTCAAGGATATTCGTAGGCTCGCTGCAAAAAAAGTACTCGTCAGCCATCACTCAAATGTCTTTCAACATAGCCTTCCTCCTTGATCAGTGATCCCCATTCAACAGAGCGAAGCTGAGAGCGAGTTTTTTTTTCTTTTTCGCTCTGTTGAATGGGGAAGATCCCCATTCAACAGAGCGAAAAAGAAAAAAAAGGATAAGTTACACATACATCGCTTTTTAACTTTGACTTATTATAAGAGAGCAGAAAGTCAAAGGTGCATTTTATAGAGGCCACTTTTTGTTCCCCACTCAAAAAATAAATAGCCTTCGTCATTCTCCGACAAAGGCTCGGCGTTTAGCTGCTCAGCCAAGTGGAAAATTTATTGCGTGCGCTAGGCTTACAAATTCCTCGCAGCTTCTTCCTGAATAACTCTCTATTTCCCTCAGCCAGAAGGGTGAATAATAATTCAGCGCGATTCAGCTGGAGATATGAGAAAGACAGAGAGGGAACAGGGGTAATGCGAGATAGTTTCTGCTGAACGACGTGACTGGAAGTCGGAAGTCGAAATTGTCTTAGAACAGGCCATCAGTCTTTGTCAACGCAATTTGAACATGAACACTTTACTAGATGGCTCGCAGTAAATTTTTAGAACTGAAGTCACCTACCTAGTGATGCGATGCTTCCATTCTGAAGCAGAAGGGAGCCGTCGATACCATTCTTCTCTATCATGATGGCAGGTGTCTGCCTGGCGTCTGCACGCCGCCATATTCGCACTTCGCGAACTGACATGTAACTAAAACCAACGTCTGTCCACTTGATGGAGCAGAGCTTCTCCGAAAAAATGAGTAAGACCTTTGAACAAATTAGCGCACTCAAGGATTGGCGAAAAAAATATTTATAAAAAATCAAAAAAGAGACCTGAGTACAAGAAAGGGAGTGAGTCAACGCGGCTCAGTGAGAAAAGAAGGTGAGTCAGTCACGGACGGTGAACTCTGTTCAGCGTAAGATAGCAAGTATTAGAAAACAAAGGTCAATTTGCAGGCTCAGATTCCGAAGAATGACTACCAGATTACTCATCAGCTACATAAAAGAAATATAGGCCGAAAAGGATAGAAAATAAGACCTTGCACTCATCTGAAGGCCAACTTCTCTCCCGACATGTGGCGGTGGGGTCACATGGATTACTGCGCCCTTCTCATTGGTGGGCATCTCTTTCAGATATGGCAAAGAAAAGAACCAGCACCATTGAGGAAGTCCTAATATTCTATGTGGCCCCGCCCACATGACCACCATAGAACGTGCTTTTTAACATTAGTAGTTACAATAGATTGTACATGGAACGCCAGCTGTTCAAATATGGTGTTCGAATTTACTGCATCCGGCGCTGGGATCTCATTCCCAGTCTAGAAATTTCCAGAATAAAAAGTTCACAAAATGCCTATCAAGAAAATTGAGAATAGAAAAAGAATATAATCATATAAGAGGAGGAAAACAGGGCCCAGGCGAACCCTTTCGCTCCATGAGGTCGGAAGGTTGATTCTTACGAAGGTCGTCAGGTCGAAGTGGCCATTTTTACTTGATGAGATGTAGATCACTAGACGTGGTTTTTGGACGCTGATCTTGAATCTGCCTTCAAAATTTGCAAAGCGATTCTCTGAACGGAGTTATGGAGCCGCGTTTACCACGCAACAGGTCATGGGATCCCTGCTGAGCTTAACTTTTTTGCTTGTTGCGCAAACGTGGCAAAAAGTGATTTTGCCGTCACTACTACTTCAGTTCTCACCTGAGCTTGTCTGAAGAAAAGTTTGCCTCCATTTATTACTGCGCTTGGACTCCTTGTAGACTACAGTGCACTACAGTGCTTCTACAAGGAGTCCAAGCGCAGTAATAAATGGAGGCAAACTTTTCTTCAGACAAGCTCAGGTGAGAACTGAAGTAGTAGTGACGGCAAAATCACTTTTTGCCACGTTTGCGCAACAAGCAAAAAAGTTAAGCTCAGCAGGGATCCGATCCCATGACCTGTTGCGTGGTAAACGCGGCTCCATAACTCCGTTCAGAGAATCGCTTTGCAAATTTTGAAGGCAGATTCAAGATCAGCGTCCAAAACCACGTCTAGTGATCTAAATCTCATCACAAACGGGCACTTCGACCTGACGACCTTCCCTGGTTAGTATATATGGCTATAATATTTTACAAGAAATGAGCAACCGAGAGATAATGATTTCATAAAGGGTGAAAGGGAGCCATAATGGCCGCTTGACAGTGATTTGACACCAGGGCCCATCATGGGAAACCACTGAACCAGAAATCCGTTATCTTAGTCCCCGCTTTTCTGAAGAGGTAGGGGACAAGTACCTTACCTAACACCTCAAATGAGAACACACGTAAAATCGCCAAATTTCGTGGGGAATTCGCAAGCACTCTGACCTCTCCCAACTACTCAAGTACGACCCCTCTTCCGACGATCAGTTACAACTCTTTATGGAGATTTGAGAACGTGCCACTGGATGAAAGCCCAAACGAAAAATTCTGAGCCCAGGGCACAGCATTGTAATCTGTGAAATGGCGGTATCAGAACGACCCCCCCCCACTCCAACTTTCTCGTCGAATACGATCCCCTCCCTATTCTACCCACTATCTTCTTACGTACTCCCAACTTCCCACTACTTTTTCCCAGAAATTTTTCAATCTTCCCAAGGAAACAGCAAGGGTGAAAAAATTGTCATCAATCAATTACTACTCTCAACTACCAAATGCGGCAAACATACGGTACATATTTGCACCGCAAGCAACTACAGTAAAAGTAGTAAGTAGCAATGAAATGTATAAGGCGAGAAAAATAAACAAGCAGAAGAAATTGCAGAAGAAATCGGCTGAAATTCTTGTCAGCATCAGAGACAGTAAGCTACACTGAATGCCAGATTATACAATAATGAAGACCCGTTCAATAATAATGTACTATTAAAATAAGCTCACAATGAGAGGACGATAGAAGGGAGAAATGTATTGAATGTATTAGTTGCCATTTTGATCAAATCAAAGCAGAATTAGCCAGCCATTGATCCAGGA